ATAAATAAGTCATAATACAAATAATGAGAGATCTTATCATAATCATGAAATCAATAGTTACCAAAGAAAACAGTTATCTGTAAGACTGGTGATTAGTATTAGCATCACAATAGGAACCACAGGAGCAGACTAGAAATTTATGAAAAGTAATTTAGAAAGTAATAATTAAGGAAAACCTCTATAGGCATATTTAAAGAGTGGTTAAGAATGAGGTAATAGAAAACTATTAATTAATCAGCAAAGCATCACTATTGAATTCCAGAATGTTAGTACAAGACTATAGGGTCTGCACATATTAGATTACAACCAGTCTTCTGAAGATCAAATATGATAAGGATCTATCATAGTATCTATGAACAAGAACATGAAATAAAGAATCAAGAACTAAGAAACACCTGCTTCAAGCCTTTTGATAAAAGTTACATAGTAGACTTCTAAACATTATGTGGCCTGGACACAGCAAGACAACTGACAAAATGGTATTACATTGTGACAAAATTGGAATATGCAATTGGATAGATAATATAGAAAAAATAAGTTAAATGAATTTCTTATATAATTTTTTTTTTTTTTAAGTACTGCGTAGTCAGGCCATATACCCTTTATTTATTCATTAATATTCTCTTTACATAAATTTAATTGTAATAAAAAATATATTCATAAAAGTGAAAAGACTAATGGCTCAGTATGACAGTTGAACCTGTCAATCCTGTGACTTACTACAGTCCATATTTATGAATGTTAGTATATCATGACTCTACTAACATTGATTTTAAATGTGAACAAGGTGTAGAGAGAGAAGCTATTATTTAAAATATTGGTTATACTTGAATTGATTAATTGGATATACAAGTGTTTAAAGGTTTGTGTAAGATGTTTCTCCATGATTGAGAATGAGGTGTGTGTGTTGGGGGTTCTAGTCAGTTTGTTTCGTTTCATTTTCCTTGTGATTTTGTTTTCTTTTTCCCAGATGGAGACTAACTCGCCGTATAACCTTCAGACCTCCCTTTTCTCCTGTCAGAATCTGTCTGTTACTTTTCTTATAGCATTCTTTGCTTTAGTTAGGTTTTGTATAATCTCTATGACCTTTTCTACTATCCGGTATATAATTATTCCCTTATAATCTCATTGATTCTGGATTTTATTTCCTGTTTCTTGTCCCTTTTTTAGCTGAGTGTGTTTCCATTTGTTTTGTATTGATTCTGATTATTGTATCCCATTTTCCTGGGATGCACATTCCTCAGTTAGGAATGTCATGTATTTTTTTTTAGTCTTTTAGAGTTTGTCTCACATACGAAGGGATGAATATTGGTTTCTGTATGTCTTTTGCAAATCACACATATGGGGCTGGTATATACATGTAGCATTCTGGTGTTGAGTTTGGACATGGTTGGATGTTCATTCATCCAAGTTTTGGTTCTGAAGGTTCTGTCCCTGTTGTCTTCAGTGTTTGTTTATAGTGATATGATTTTTGTAGGTGAGAGGGTTTCCAGTGTAAGCTTCCAGTCTATTTCTTTGGATTTTTCTTTAGTGAGCCAGTTATTTGTTCTTTGTAATACCCTCCATTTGCTTGCCCACTTTGTTTTGATTATTGTTTTTCCAAGTGTTTTAAAGGGGAGATCCATAAAGGACTGATCCCATCTGATTGAAATGTTGCTCTTGGTTGACTGTTTTTTCTATATTATTATTATATCCTTGTATGAATCCACATATGTGGTAGCAGCAAGTTTGTCTGTTCTTTCGTTTTCAACTATACTGGTGTGACTTTTGACTTTGATCCATTGTACATGAATTTATTTTATTTCAAGTATTTCTTTGATTGTATCTGTTAGTTTTTGATTTGATTTGTTTTTCTTTTATCTGATACTTCCTTGTTTCCCCTGTTGATTATTTTTAATTGTATTTATTGCATCTTGGCTGTCTGTGAATATTTTTATCCTTTTGTCTGGGTTGACTATACTGATGGCTGTCAGTATTGCTGTCAGCTCGGCTCTTATAGATGATGGGTATATTGTATTTCTGCTTGAAATTCCACTAGGTCTTTATCTAATTCCATTTGGATGATCTATCCTAGTCCCATTCTGCTTCTTATTAATCATCTAGTGAAGAATCCATCTGTGTATATGTGTAAGTCATTGTACTGCTGGATCCTTACAGCTATGTCTGTCAGTTTCTTTATTTTCCGGTTACTTGTTTTCAATCTTGACTTAATGAGTACTATAGTTGTAGATATTGGGTCAAGGTGAATTATTGGAGGAGGTGTTTTAAGGTCTGGTGTCTTGTCAATCTCTTTTAGTGCTGACTCAATTCCTTTAGGTGAAGAGTGCAGTCTTTCTTGAAAAGGTTGTTTGGACTTCTGTGTATTGTCAATATTATTGGTGTGGTTGGTGGGTTGTACTGATTTTGAGCTTCTTTGAACCAGTATTTTGATCGATTGATTTAGTAGTAATTGAGATATGCATTGTTGTAAATCTTTATATTGTCTTATTAAGTTTGGGTCATTTAAGGGGCAGCCCTTGCATTTGTGTAGGAGTGATGTTTGATATTTCTTGATCATGTGATTGGTTAATACAGCTCTCTGGTTCATGTATTTTTTTTCCTGAATTATGTTATCATGTCATTCTTTTTTGTCACCATCCATTTGACAGTTGTTTTCCCTTGTATAGAAGTAATTCTTGTATTTGTGAAGAAAATATTTTTGGTTCTTTTAGTGATTGGTATTTTGATGTTGTGCTATTCATTAATTAAGGGATTCTTACAGATTGTTTCTCATAAGTCATGGTATCATTGTGATATTCTTCCTTGTCTTCCTAGTTTGTTTATTATTTGTTGCCATGTAAGGACCCTTGTGAGGTCGTCATTAAGGAGTTGCTCGATGAACAGTATTTCCCTTAATCGGAGTGCCTATCTATGTTGGTCATACCATTCTTCGGTCATTACTGTTTTGATTGCAGTTCTCTCTTTGTTGAGGGGTTTTCCAATAGTGATGTAATCTGAGAGTGTGAAAGTGATTCCTTAGACTTTTATAACATTCAGGATATTATTGATTAGGTTGCTATGTTTGCATGTCCAGAAGGGAAGTTTATCTTCCAAAATTGATGTGTCAGACCAGTAGTTGTTTTGTAGTTGTTATAGCCTGATAAAAGTTGTTGTACTATAGGCATCTGAGCCATTCAATCTGTTGACTAAGTTTTTTCCTTGTATTAAGATTTGTCTATCCCAAAGGTTAAATATTTTATATCTGAAGTCTGAGTGTAGTATACAATTGGGGCTGTTGTAGGTAGGTCTATTTTGTACTTGTAAATCTTATTTATTTTTCTGCTAATTTTATCGCATTCTTGTTCTAATAGGGACATGTCATTGAGAAGGTATTCTATTGCTGGGTATAGGACATGGTTGATAATGTAGTGAGTTTGCTTATCTGTTACTTTTTTCCATGCTAGAATATTTATATGTATGTTGACTTTATCATGTAATAGTTGTTTCTAGTATTTCTTCTTTCCATCTTCTGTTATCCAAACTCCAAGTATCTGTGTAGTTTCCTCTTTTCTCAGAGAGAGGACTTGTGTGTCAGCTAGGAAGATACCTATCCTTTTGTCCTTGTCGGGTGCATTGATGCATATCAATGATGACTTCTCTCCATTGGCTTGGATATCATTTATCCTGAGGAATTCTGTTGCTGTATCCAGGATTTTTTGTATATCTGTTCAGTTTCTCACATACCAGGTTGTATCATCCATAAAGGCCATGGATGTTATTTTGCATATTTTCTGATAAGTCTTTGTTTCAGTGGAGTGTATTGTTGATATGTCTTTATTTAACTCTACTTCCATTTTGTAATCCCTGTGTCAGTCTTCTACTTCTTGTAGTAGAGGATCGTAGAAGATTCTCCACAGTAGAGGGAAAATTGTATTATCTTGATCTATTCCATCCTCTACTAAGTATTCATCAGTTAGTCCGTATGCTGTTATTATCTTGTTTTTCCTATTTGTGAGTGTATCTGTAATGATATTAGTTATGCTTTGAGGAACTTTAATTCTCTGGAGGACATTAACTAGTTTGTCTTTGTTTATAGAGTCATATGCTTTGCTAATATCTTGGCTGAAAATCCAAACCTCCTTCTTGGATTCTCTCGCTTCTTCCATAATGTTGTTCAGAATATGAGGTAATCCTGCCCAGTTGTTGTTGAAAAAAATTTTGTTAGTTGTGCAGCTGTTTGTGATTCTATTTGCCAGTATACTCATAAAGACTTTCCTGGTTGTTTCTAGTAATATTATTGGTCTAGTTATGTTGATATTCCCCATATATTCTTTTAGTTTGGGGATTGAATATATATTTCCCTCTTTCCATTCTATTGGAATTTCTCCTGTTTCTAGTATTCTGTCAAAGAGTTGTTTGAGTATTTTGATGCTGTTGCTACCCAGGTGCTGAAGAAGTTTGTATGGAATTTCTAAGGGGCCAGGAGCACTTGTTTTGTTTTTGAATTTGATTGCTTTTTTGATTTCCTGAGTGTCAAATTTTTTTGTGCAGTTTTAATACCATTCTTCTTTGATGCTATCTTTCACTTTGTATTGTTCCTGCCAATTTGAGAACTCCTTTATATCTAGTGTATATCTTGCTTCCGTCCATTTTTTGGAAGCGGGATCTTATTTTTCTCCTGACTATTTCTGGATCTGTAATTATATCAATCTCGTCATCTTCTGTTCTCTTGATAAGTCTTAGTGTGTTAATTTTCCTTAGTTGTCTGTTTAGAATACTGTTTATTATTTTCTTGAGATAGTCTTAGAGAGCTCGATATTGCTGCTATATTCTTTCTCTGATGGTCCTTTTCTTTTCTTTCTTGATTATTGCTATTGACGTCCTGGTTTCTTCCTGCCATAGCTCTCTGATTTCTACCAGGTAGTTGTATATTGCCACCCTTTTCCCTGGGATATCTTTTGTTTGAAGAATTGGAGTTTTGATTCTTTCGATTTTATTATTGATTTCTTGCACCAGCTGTTCTATTTCCTCCTTAAGATTGCTGCTCCAGTTCTATTTGTTGATAAACCATTTCTTGTAGGCTCTGTACAATTTTCTGATTGTTAGTTGTTGTTTTATATATTTTTTGTAACGATTCTTGCTGATTGATGGAGTGTTCTGATTTCTTCTTTTCATTTTCAATATTCTTTTTGCTATCCGTATGAGCATCTCTTTGAAAGCCAACCATAGTGAACTGGATATGTCCTTTTTTATTATTTGAAGATTTTTGGCTCTTTCTTTTGATCGATCTTTAAATAATACCCATTGTTTGTCTATGAAGTTGTAGAAGTCTATTTGTATTTTCTGACAGTTTTTCCTATTTTCTATTTTTGACCAGGATGTGTGCGGTGTGCTCATGTATAAAGAGACCATTTTATGGTCACTTTCTATTATTGTAATGACTACTGTGTGTTCTGTGGTTATTATGTGTAGTGTTAAAGGTTGTGACATCCAGATGTAGTCAATCCTGCTGCCATATTCTGATACAGGTCTTATGTAGATGAAGCTTTTGAAAAAGGATGATTGAATCTAAAAGTGTCCACAAATTCGAAGGCAGCTAGTGTGTCGAAGATGTCTCTGGTTTTATTGCTTCTAACCTTTCTTAAGGTTCTATCTAGGTCATTGTCTGCTAGTTCATTGAGATCACTTATTATAATTATGAACATGTTTCGACTGTTTGCTTCTTGTATTTTTTGTTTCACCTATGTGTGTAGTTTGGTTTTCGATCTTTGTTTGTGGTGTTGGATGGGTTGTAGATGATAATAATTCTGTATTTGATCTTTCCTTTAAATGCTAGATCTAGTTGGAGCCCTCTGTTATCACATTCTGCCACATTGTAGACATGTGTAGCCTATTTTTGGTTTATAATTATACTTACTCCTGTACCGTGGCATTATTACTTTAGTGTGGATAACCAGATTGTATGGCCGTGTTCTGAATCTCGCTATTTGTAGTTTGGGGAAGCCAGGTTTCTGTTATTTCTAAGATATCTATTTATTGTTCTTGACAATATTCTATAAGTAATATCTGGTCTGTTTCGTTGTTTATGCCTCTTACATTTAGTGTACTTATCTTCCATATCATGTGTTCTATATTTGTTTACTATTTTTTGTTTTCTGCTGTTTGCAGTTTCTTGGAATCTTTGTTGTTTCAATCATAACTATTGATAAAGCAGGAGGGGATGGGTGCTATTGGGTTGTCAGAGCTGCTTGGAGAGTTTAGACACTCCATTACTTCTTTCATTGTGGATGTTAGTATGGATTCCATTTGATTTATTTGTTTATTCATCCTGTTTTGGGTTTGTCTAATGTCTATGTGTTTGGAAGATGGTGTTCTGAAGATTGAGGTTTTGCTCATCTCTTCGTCCTCATTCTCTAAGATTGCCAATCCCTTAGATTTTGTGTTAGAACCAGTCTCTACTGCCATAATTCTCCTTTCCAAATTATAAATTTGGCATTTAACTGAGAGCATGTCCATTTGGAGTTGTTTAAGGATGTTTAGAATTGTTTTCATTTTGTCTGGATCTCTATTGGTTCCTTTAGTAATATTAGCATATGTTCTGCTAAGTTCTACTTGATTTGTTGAGTGACTTGATATGTGATCTCTGTGTATTGTTGATTCTCTCCTGTGTAAAGGAAAAAGTCTAGATCTGCCAAGTCTATTTAGTCTAGGTCTAAAGAGAAGTTGATCTTCTTTCTGGGAGCAGGAGTGTATGTCGTACTCATATGCTCTACAGTAGAAACACAATTTTATTGATTTGTCGATCCATTTGAGATCATTGTTTTGAAGTTTGGGTGTGGTTTTTAGAGCTTGAGTGAGATTTTGTTGATTGGCATAGTATATTATGGCAAAGCATTTGGTTTGATTTTTGTAGTTTAGTGGAAGATAACATGCTTGTCCATTGATTTGCTAAATGATTTTTTTAAGGTCACCTGCTATTGTGCCTTATGGAAGATTGGCCAGAGTAATGCTGAGTTTATTCCTTTCTTCTTTGGTTTCACGAGTTTTAGTCATAGGATATACCCTCATATAGCTGGTATCCTTGAAGATTGCCCACTTCTAGACTTGTTTTTCATAGTCGTCCCTTGTTTTGAATTGTATGATAGCCAATTGAACTTGGCCTGCAGGTTGCATGGTTATGTATTCTAGGGTTAATTGTTTTCAAACAATTCTGCTATGTTTGATTTGATAAAGATTTTTGAAATATCCCACATTCGGATGGACCTGGCTTGACCTTTTGTTGTACCAATCTGTGTTACTAGTCTTGTTAAGGTAATTTCATTCTCAGTGATTTTAGTAGCGCATGTGGTCTATGCTTCATTGTAGTTTTCAAATATGGCTGCAATTATTGGTGTGCCAATTGATGCTTTGATTCTTGTATGTTTCAGAGTATTGAGGTGTCCCTATTTGTTTTTGACAAAAAGTATTTTTTCATTGTTATTGTTGCTTGATATTCCTTTCATACTTACCAAGACTTTTCTTGGTCTGACTGTTGTTTGGGTTGGTTCTCCATTTTGGCTTTCCTCTTGGTTCCTAAAGCTGTATTCTTGATTGAGAATATTGTTGTGATTGTTAACAGGTATATTTTGTGCAGTTTCCATGATCGTTGTTAGTACCGTTGTGATTGGGAAGGCTGTTCTCAACTCTTCATTCCATTCTAATATTCTTGTTTGGTTCGCAAACTTTTCTTTCTCCAGATTCTCGCTTGTTGCTTCTTTCTGATTTTCTATAGTATCCATTGTTATGTCCATTTCCTTCAAGGGTTCTGTGTCTTGAATGTTTTGCTCTTGATCGTTACTTAGTCGAAACTTGATTTTCTTTATTGGTGACTTGGGATCAAGCTTCCCTACCAGTCTTGTTTTAAGATAGTTTTATAATTTTTCCACTGCCAGTAATAAGTCGTTCCCCTGTGTAACTGACTGATAGATCTTTTGTCCTTACTGACTTCCTTAATATATTCATTGGGAGGCTCTTAATGAGCATTTTGTTTTTACCTCTATATTTTGCATTGTTACTATAAAAGGAAATTTTCAAAAATTTTTGTGCAAGTGGGAAAGTGTTTTTTTTTGATGAATTTCTTATATAATCAATATTATACTATTGTAAAATACTTAATAAAATTTATTTTGGTCAAATTAGACTAAAAAAAAAAAAAAAAAAAAGCTAAAATAGTTTATAAAATCCTAAAAAAAAAAATAGATAAAATGGAGTTCAAAACATACTACTCTTAACTTCAACTTTAACAAATAACAAAAACTCTGAATAATTACAAGAAGCAAATTTTAGCAGTAACATATAATTTGGAGAAAATTAATTTCAATAATATCAAAAGATATTTTAAAATAGAGTACTTTAAATATATCAGCTCTGTTAAAAATTGAAAATCAAAACTAACCTGGTATTAAGGTTACATAAAAAGCACAAAGATAGAAAACTAATATATAATCAAAACAAGTATAGAGAAAATACAGATGGTTTCTTACTTTAATATAAGAAATCATCAGAAGAGCCCAATTATTAAAAATTTCAAGTTTCAAAGAAGCATTGAAAGGAATAATATGTTGAACAATATGCTGTGACTAATTAACTATTTAGAATAAAAGAATACTATAGGTTAAAATAGAGAACTGAGAAATAAATATTATTAAAGAACATATTGAAGAAGATATTTATCCATCCCATTTGATTGAAATATTTAAACATAACAAGAAGAGAAAAGAATTAATAATCTTTTACTCTGATAGGTCAAATAAGCTGGATTTCAAGCTTATCAAAATTAAAATATATCTAACATTAGTATAATGAAGAAGCAAATACTCTTGCCAAATAAGTATTAATGAATTTAGCAATAAAATAGAAAAACTTAATCTTATCCATAATCCTCATAGAAATTAAATTATAAGATATAATGCTAGATATCACCATAAGACAAGCTATTAAAAAACAAATAACAAATTAACAGTCTATCAATAGATAACTCAAGATAGAACAGAACTAACTCTTTCTGCTGATTCTCTGACCACACACAAAAAAGATGTTCGCAAGAAGTTTTTATATTTCCTTGCTAATAAAGTCTTAATACTTTCCTTAAAACAACTTGAAGTATAACTTCAAGAGTCACTTCTACCCTTCTCCTATTGTTTACAAACCTCTTCACTCAAAAACTTGACTCCTAGTGACCAAGAAAAGTCAAGAAATACCTTTGATACCAATGGCAAGAAAGTTTTCAAAGAAAAAAGAACTGACTGTGAAGTACCTGAAGGCCTATTTAATCTTTGAAGTGAGAGATATATAGAGGTTTTTGATGACAGAAGGGCTTATTTTTCCCCTTCCAGACATTGTTGGACCTCTTAGAGCTATCGCTTTCATGGTTTTCTAGAGAATTTTGCCTACCTCAGTTTGACCCTGAATTTTTGGTGACACAAATCCTCACCAAAGGTAATTGGCTGACATGAAACACATCAGTTTTTGAAATGTAAACAAGCTCCTATTGGTCACACTCACGTGTCTCGATACATTATTGGTAATGTAGGAAAGAAAGTTCTAGAAAAAGTGTCCCCTCCAATCATATATATTCAACCTTCAGAAAACAATTATGATACCAAAAGGCGAGCGATGGGTACGAAAAGAAGATTCAACTTCCATCTCTCATTAAGTTCCTCAGGTAGTGAAAAGGCTTTCTTGAACAAAAGCCGAGGTCTCCAAGCTTCTATCCCGGTCAGGCAAAGTTTTTGAAAAGATTTCTTTATTCCAGTCAGACAAACTCTTCCGTAATATAGTGCTGGCCTCACTAATGATAAGTGAATCCGTATATTGGAAGAAGGATAAGTTTCTCAAATGTTCTTATTGAAGTCACTTTCAAGAATCGCTAAGTTCCTCAAACATCATGAAGCTTAGAGAATATTTCAATCAGGCAAACCCCTTTTGAAAGGAAACTGTGAAATAGAACAAGAACCTTTTGGAGGGCTTTGATTTGCATTCTCCTTTTTCTTTTCTCCAGTGCCAACTTTAGCAATTCATCATTTTTTGGAATAATCTATACTGACAATATCAGGAAATTTTTTAGGTGAAGATCTCTGGAGATCTTTGGGCGTAAATCTCCAGAGGAATTCTGGCGTCGTTAGAAGTTTCCGGAGTAAAAGTTATATATATAATTCTGAAGATAATCAAAAAAATTTTTGAAAATCT